GTTGGGGTCGCGACGACTTTTATTAGGGTAGAATCGCCCGATCAACGCTTCGAAAGAGGACGCTCTCCATGATGATGAGTATACAGATGAAGAAGATGGACACAATGCTGTGAACGTTGCGCTTATAAAGTATGTTCTTTCGATGCGTTCCAGCAACCCAAACTAATACAGACGTTGTTTTAATGTTTACCAAAAGTGCAGCGTACGTGGTATTTACGTAGAAAGCTCGAGAGATGGTGTGAAGGATGCGAACTGGGTGCCTGGAGCAGCAGTCTATCTATGACCGGTTACTTTTTAACTGTCTCTAGGAATCACTTCGTGAATCACGAACAATAACGCCGAGTTTCGACGGTGGGAAAAAGGCGGCTTGAGCTTTGACGTCTTCGAGGGTCTCCCACAGTCTCTCGCCCCACGGACTCTGACGGAAAAGTCGCCAACCGACGAGACCGGCGCATTCTGCCGAGGTCTGAAAGATTTCGGGAAGGGAAGAAAGTCGCGTGATTTCCGCCCTACGACGTTCTGGCTGCTCGGGATGAAAAGGCAAGGCAAGAAAAGGCAAGGCAAGAAAAGGGCGGAACTCAAACCGCCCATGAATGGGCAGTCGGTTTCAAACCCTGGGCGGCTTGCATCGAGAAACGCTTCTGGGGGGACTCGATGGAAGTGCGGTCGCAGCTCGTGGGTCTTCGTGACGTAAGATGGCGGCGACGATTGGTCACATGGCCCGGGAGCTCTTGTGGGTCGAGTCCGTGGCGGCTTTGACGCTCGTGGATGCGTTGAGTGCTGCGGACACTCCGGCCACGAGTCGCATGAAGTAGGCGACCAGGCCGACGGCCACGAGGGCGGCGAACAGTACGAGCGACGCGAGGGCGTACAGCCGACTGCTGGTCAGCAGCAGGACGGCGCGACCCCGCTGTTCGATGCGCACACCGGCTTCGTCCATGCTGGGGTAATACGTGTTCTTAGATGATGATGAGATTTGGAATGATGGAGGTATAACAGAAAGATTACCGATAGCCTAAGAAAGTGTGGTGCTTAATGTAATGCATACAGATATTTACATGAACGAATTTATTTTTAGAATAGAGCAATAATCTGATTTTATACGTATATAATTATGTGGACATGTTAGGTATACGTGTTCTTAGTTCGGCTTCTACTGTGGTTCACGCCCACAGCGGGGGAATAGCCAAAATTAAGTCGTCCTAAAAAAATGTTATGGTACTTTAGAATAATGGACGCTATAAAGTAAAAGCACTACAAGTTTTTATGCAGTTATGATGCTCGAGTGCTTTTTATTAGTGGTAGATAACAAATTAAATCAATACCCTATCTTTACAGTGTCTAGAATTATATTTCTAGACACTGTACTATTTTCTTCTGAATGTGCCTCGTTGGATGAGTGACGCCGACCCACTGCGGGCCATCAGTCAGCCAGTGACTCACTTGGCAATAATGGTATTACGGTAGTTGCATTTTGTCCTAATATAACACATATTTTGCGCGAAGGATTTCGAATCACTCATGGCCGTGTTCAATTATGATGGAATAAAACAGTATGTTCGCTTTCCTTGTGACATTAAAAGAAACGTTGCCACCCCTTGTTTTTCGTTAGCCCAACTTTGGGCTAACTTTAACGTTAACCCAACGTTAGCCCAACGTTAGCCCAACGTTAGCTTTAACGTTAGCCCAACTTTACTTCCCATGGAAAGTAAAATAAAGTAAATAAAATGAAAAGTAAATGTAAAACTGAATGGGAAGAAAAAAAGCAACTTACATATGAGACGTGGTATTATGGGGAACCACTAGAACTTTTTAAGCGTGCTCCTAAATAACGTGCCGTCACGCGCCAACCTTCCCACACCATCGGTAGAGGAGAAGGAGGAGGAGGAGGTGGAAAGAATAAGCGGAAGGACGGGAGGTTAGCCAGTTCTCCGGCTGGCTACCCTGTGCCACTTGTAGATATTACCTCACAGCCTGTATGACACCTACCGTCAATTCAGACTCATTTCGATCCTTTTCAATATTGATTCCATAGCTCAGAGAAGAGGTTGTAGGAAGCGTGGATTTTTTTTTTCATTTCGGAGAGGTCGCAGACAGAGGCGTGGCTCTGTGGTTGAACGCCTGCTCTACTCGCCAACGTTCTGGGTTCGAATCTCTCTTGAATAGAAGATTTATTGTTAATATTTGTTTATTTATTTGCATCTTTTTCCTTACTTCGCTCACAACCAATGACGCCGACACCAGAATTTATCCGTCACGAGCTCTTTATTGTTTTCGTATACGTTTCATTATACTGATATTCGTGTTACGGGACTTACGGGTCGGGCGGACTTGCTGTTTTCTCGCTGAGATGGCGCAGAAAGTGTTATCCTTGTATTGTTTTGTTGTGTAAGCTCCATCTGGCCGAGATTGAGCAGTTTCGCGTGGCTTATCGAGGGACGCGCTGCGCATGCCCGAGGACCAGTGACGTCACACGGCGCACAGCCCGCACGCCGGAGAAGTCCTGCAAGCTTCAGGAGAGTGACGTGTGACTAGTGGGCTGACTGTTCGCTAGTCCGACTGTCAGTCCATAGCTCACGCTATACGCTTGTCCTGGCAAAGCAGAGCTAAGCCAATGATTTCTTTATCGCTGGTACAACGCAGTTGCAGTTGTATGGCATAGATGCATTAGTGCCCTGCAAGCGGCCCCGCCGCGGTGGTCTAGTGGCTAAGGCACTCGGCTGCTGACCCACAGGTCGCGGGATCAAATCCCGGCTGCGGCGGCTGCATTTCCGATGGAGGCGGAAATGTTGTAGGCCCGTGTGCTCAGATTTGGGTGCACGTTAAATGAACCCCAGGTGGTCGAAATTTCCGGAGCCCTCCGGAGCGTTTCTCATAATCATATTTATTTATTTTTAATACCCTCAGGGCCAAATGGCATTACAGAGGGGAGTGGATTACATTGAATAACACATGGTACATGGTGGGGAGGGAAAAATACAGCGTTAGTACGAATATAGGCAAAAGTCAGCGTACAAACAAAAAATACATTAAGTAGGTCCTGCGTATACAAAGTTAGCTACGGTATCACGAAAAAGATGGTTGTCATTAATAGCAACAATTTCAGGCGGAAGGTGGTTCCACTCGCGAGAAAAACGAGGCAGGAACGACTGCGCAGCTGTGATAGTACGATAGGTGATAATTCCAACCTTGTGACGGTGATTGACACGGTTGGAAAAATGCTGGGGTTGAAAAATAAGTTCGTCGCGCAAGATGGGGTGGTGATACAATTTATGAAAAGTTGATAGGCGGGAAACTTTTCTTCGAAGTGACAGGGTAGGCAGGGACACATTATTTTTCATTGCAGATATACTGGCAGTGCGATTGTAGTTCGATAATATGAAGCGTGTGGAATTATTCTGAACTATCTCAAGCGATGTAATTAAATTAATGTGGCTGGGATCCCAAATCGAAGAAGCATATTCTATCGAAGAAGAAGCATATGGTGGTTTTGGGACGTTAAACCCCACTAATGAATAAATCAATCAGTGCCCTGCAAGCGTTGGTGTATAGCTTGCTTAAAGCTTAAGATCAGGGGCCTAGCCAGGGGGCAGCACATCGGGCCCGTGTCCGAGGTGCTGATGTGGCGGACAGGTTAGGCCTAACTTGTCCCGACGTGGGAGCGGCCTGCTACGTGCTAGTTCACGCCCCGACGGACCTAAATAAAGTTTTCCCATACCCATACCCATGGCACATAGACGGAGAGAGAAAAATGAACATTTTGAACAAGATGGTCTCCCACCGCGAAAGTTTCTGGCTTCGCGCCTGCTTGAGATGTTGGCCTTCGGAGCGGAGTATGCAGGTTCAACTCCCAACACCGCCTGGGAAACCATTTACTACGTATCATCTATTCTGTGTGACATAAGGACGTATACGGACAATCCGTACGTCTTTATGGCACTAAAATGTTTACACGCCTTCACAGCGTCCCTACCACTCGCCAAAGATAGCCATTGTTAACGTGTTCGGCTTTCTCTCCCCCACTTCCCCCTTCTCCAAAAAATTATTTACAGGAAAAAATAGCTTTAATCACAACGCTTCGACTTGAACCTATATATATAGTCTCTCACGCTCCCAAGGCTGACGTCTTAACCATTTAATTAAATTTGAAGACGCACGGACAATCCGTACGTCTTTCTGACACTAAAATGTTTACACGCCTTCACAGCGCCCGACCACTCGCCAAAACTAGCCGTTGTAAAGTAACTCCCCCCCCCCCCAAAAAAAAATTATTTATGGGAAAAAAATAGCTTTAATCACAACGCTTCGACCTCAACCTAGTCTCTCACGCTCCCAAGGCTGACGTCTTAACCATTGATCTAAACTTCAACGTTTCCCTGCAGCTCCTGCCACCGCGGGCAACTAACCAAAGAACTCAATTAACCCATGCAGAAAAAAGTACAATCTTCTGTGCGAGAGTCAGAGTGCAGTGACTATTTTTTGAGAGTGCCTTGTGCACATCGCCACCGTACTTGCACTAGACGCCCGAGGAGAGTTTACAACGGTCAATATCATGCGCACATAGGTTCTCTTACCCATGACACAATTGAGCTATTCACCAAGACGCCAAGCGCGACACGCGAATGAGAAGGCGATACGAACTGGTCCAGAGTACACTAACGCATTCCTATATACAGTGCGTAGCTTGAGCATACTTCAAGCTCTTGCTTGCCCTTAATAAGCCAACTACAATACTACTTGAGGCCAAAGGAAATTAACATCTATTTACGCTATCACCCTCCTAGATGATTAGATTGAGCACCTTTGGAGTTTTTGTATGTCCTCAATCAGTCAACTACGATACTACTTGAAACAAAGGAAATTTTGATAAACATCTGGACTGTATTGAATGGGGGATTTTCGTAATTTCGTGGAACGGCGTTTCAGTGTCTTTAACCACTAGCCTGCTAGTTAACTTGCCAATGTAGCACTGGAAGAAATAATAAATTTTCCCACGCAGATGTTTTCAACAAACATTTATTAAACACGATAACTTTGTTTATAATTGGTTATTGTTCAACGGCAACAAACATTCAAGCTGTTCCCTTGTACGATGTGCTTTTCTCCGAGAAGGCGAGAAGGAGAAGCCGAGGAGAGGTTCAGGCGCACAGCGTTACACCTAGCCTTCGTGCCATGAAGTGAACAACGAGCTCCTGGGGCCGCCGCTGCCACTCGGCCATGACATCCTTGGATGCCGTCACCTGGTCTCCTTGCATCCGGTCCAGCAGGGTGACGCACACAACCGCACCTGCGTGCAAACGATGGTCGACGCATTAAGGAACACTAAAGACAAACGATGGTTTGGTTTAGATTGCTAAACTACATTCTGAGAACTATACTGTCGTAAGTTCCACCATCATAAGTTCATTATCAATGGAGAAAATTGAGGTTAAAGGTTGATTTTCCAATCTCGAGCCGAAATGTTCGCTCGTGACGTGCAAAGTTTTAATATGAACTTTTCGAATTTTCGCGAACATTGGTTAGATGAAATTTTTTGTAACTTCGTATGCTAATTGTGTAGGGCATCCACAGAATACAATGTACTTCATTTTTATCGAGTAGAAGCTACGTGGGACGCAGTATGTAGACGCCTTCAAAATTTATTATTTATTTATATTATTTATTATTACGACGTCACGGTGTTTAGTGTGGGAATCTTAAGGTGGCGTCTCCACTCACATTTTCTTTTCACGCGTTTTCTCGCTTATACCAAGCGGGGTGTCGCGGCAAAAGTGGTGTTTCTGGGTTTTTGAAATTGTACTTCACTAATACGCAAAAAATGTTCTCTTTTTAATGTTTAGTTAAACCACGAGCAATTATGGGTGTGAACTATGTGCCTTTTGTAATGTGTGGTCGGCTTCAAACCATGACGTATGCCTGACGACCATCAGATTACCGAGAACCGATGATTTGGCTTAATTGAGACTATCGGTGCACTGATTGCCTCACCTAATTTTTTTAGGGGGCACCAGTTCCCCCTGTGACGTTTCATCCTTACCTGCTTGAGAGTTTTGATTGCTTCACCTTCACAACCATATGACAATATACTTAGGCCGTGGTAGTAGGTATTACGTTATTTTTATAATTGTCTACTTTACCGATAAGCGCAACATTCTCTTTCGGGAAAAGTGTTACAGCATACTTCTTTGCTCGACACATCTGTGGATTGAAAGTGAGCAAATTTTGGTCGATGAATCACATGATCCTCCTTTCGTGAGACATCACTTTGATGGAGTAGACAAACACAAGCACGATTACTGTCTGTGGAAAAAGATGGTTCAATGTTAACCTATGTGTTTTTTGTGGTTCAGCGTCAACTCGTGTATTTATCATAATCATCATCAGCCTGACTACGCCCGCTGCAGGACAAAGGCCTCTCCCATGTTCCGCCAGTCAACTCGGTCGTGTGCTTGCTGTTTCCACTTTATACCCGCAAAATTCCTAATCTCATCTGCCCACCTAATTGTTATCTCCCCCTCACCCGCTTGCTATCTTTTGGAATCCAGTCTGTGATTCTTAATGACCAGTGGTCATCTTGCCTTCGCACTACGTGCCGTGCCCATTACCATTTTTTTTTATTTTCGACTATGGCGTCTTTAACGTACCCGTTTGTGCCCTGACCCACCCTGCTTCCTTCTTGTCTCTTAACACCTATAATTTTTCTTTCCATCGCTCGCTGCGTCGTCCTCAATTCAAGTTGAAACCTCTTTGTAAGCCTCCAGGTTTCTGCTCCGTAGGTAAGCACCGGCAAGATACAGCTGTTATATACCTTTTTTTTAAGGGTTAGTGACAGATTACCACTCATGATTTCAGAATGCTTGCCGAATGTGATCCACCATATGCGATTCACCATCTGCACCAAAAATGATTTTAGAAGTAACTGGGCAGTTCCTCCGAAAAACGTTTTAGAGTGTAGATTCTCTGGACCTTCACAGCAGCCTAAGGCACTGGCCGCGAAATCCGGCGTGCCTGTGTCAAGCACGTAGAACAATCGCCAAGGTCAGTTCATTGGACGGCTTGGGAAAATGTCTCTCACCTTTGACCCCAGCGTGGTGGCACATTGCTGCGAACTGCGAGGACTCCATCTCGATGTTGACGACACCCAACTGAAGTAGCTTCTCGAGGAACTTCATCTTTTCATCTTCCGTGTAGTGGCAGATGGCTCCATCTAATCTGGCTTGGCCTGCGGATCAAGTTCAGTACCATATGTTACGTACTCGAACACTTCGAAGCAAAAATTAACCAGCTAAACATTTGATAATCGTTCTGCCAAGATGTGGTAAGCCACAGTATGAAAGACACGTATTGAGTTAATCTATTGACCCCCCCCCCCCCATCCCCACTGAAGTTTATTGCACCTGTTGGTACACCTTCGGAATCAGCCTACGAGCGACGATGCCACGCGATGACGTCATCATGTGGCGTCATGCAAGAAATTCATCATGCGACGAAAGAAATCTGACGTGTGTTTTTATTTGTTGACGTTGGTGCTCCAGGCAGCAGCAACGTCACGAAGAGCTCTGAATGATTACCAGCAAAATTTTATATGCCAACGACCATACTTGCAATCGTAAATACACGTGCGCGCGTGTGGAAGTAATGAACCAGGTGATCTCTATCCCGCGACAACTTTAGTGCCCCCTAATCTTTTCTGCTTTTCCGCGTAACATAATACCACTGCGCAGCAAGTAACCTAAAGGTGCCCTGCAACACTTTTTGAGCATGGCCAAAAAACGCTGCCAATCGGTATTAGAGGCTCCCGACAAGACGCGAGCCAAATATTATAGCGCAGCACGTGGCCTGGAATTCACAATAAGTTATCAAAGTAAGCTAAAAATTGCTTTCTATTCTCTCGACAAATCACATAAAATAAGCCCAGTAAGCCCATCTATCAGCCATTGGCTGATTTGGATGTGGCGCGCTCGGTTGTTAGTAAGTAAGTAAGTAGGTGCTCCTAATCCCTTTTGGCACAGGGCAGGCGCCAGCAGCGCCACAGGACAAAGTTGTGCGCTTCAACGCACATCCATACACACGCACACACACATCACCAGTCAGGCGCTTGCAGCGCCACCGTCAAAAAAAACATTTTGTGTTTTACACGCACTTCACGCGAACACGCACTCACACGTTTTCAACTTTACTGTTCGAAGAAAGAAAGGTCTGGTAGTAAATTGCCAGTTTCGCCACCAGGGGAAACGTGCCCTCGGCCAAGTCTATCCAGTGGCGTCGGCGTCGTTTAGATATTTTCTGTCGGCCCGTCGTTGCGCTGGACACTGTCGGGGTGTTTGTCCACCTGCCAGCACAGTCTGTCCCAGAGTTTTAGACGTCGCTTGGCACTCTCGGTGTGTTCGACTCGGATGTCGACGGGATCATCTGGGAGACCCAGATATTCCGCCAGGTTTAGCTTGGGTAGGTCCCTCGCTCCGAGTCGCGGGCAATCCATCAGGATATGTTGGATGGTTTCTTCCGTGGCCCCGCATAGGCGGCACGACGGGTCCGTGTCGAACAGTTCCCAATGCCGCTTCCGCGTGGGCAGTGACCCCGTCCTGGCTTGGAACAGGAGGGCGCTTTCCCGGTCGCCCCTGTAAAATGGCTCACGGTCTGGAGCCTGCTTGTATTCGAGGTATAACTGTAGGCTCCTTTTCTTTGCCGCCGACGTGCGCCACATCTCTGTGCTGGCTTCGGTTATAGTGTTTTTTGTTATTATACGCCATTCTCGTTCCGATTTTGCTTCTTCCAGTTTTGTGTTATGGCCGAATTTATTTTCCAGAGAAGCCAGTCGTTTCATCCACTGTGTTTTTATGCCCCTGTATCGAAGGTGTAGGTATATGCGCTTGCTGTAATTTGTTTCTGGTAGAAACTTTAGCCGGCCCGCATATTGTATTTTTGACCTTGCTTCGCGTGCTTCGAAAGTTGACCAGGCCAACTCCCCTGTTACTGCTGCGTTTGCTGTTGCAAAGCTGCCTCCCAGTAGCCAGCGCCCCAGTTCATTTTGGTGGCGGTCCAAACATCTCACTGTTTGGGTAGAGTACGCCAATGTGTCACCTGCGTAGGTTATTGCAGGCACGGCAAGAGTCTTCCAAAGTGTGCGGCCTACCCTGTAGGGGTTGTAGGAATGCCGTGACAGGTGCCACACCCTACCTTTTAGGCGGTTGGATTGTTTTAGGAGTAATTCTTGGTGTTTGTCAAGGTAATTCTTTTGGTCTGATATTGTTATGCCTAAATATCTGTATGTTGCTGTTTTCTTGATGGTGTTGCCTTGGATGGTGAATGTTATGTCTTTGTCATCAATGTTTATGCCCATCCATTGTGTTTTGTCAGTGTTGAATGTGAGGCAATCTTCGTGGGCTACGCGAGAACATATGTCGAGGAGATGTTGCAGGTCCGCTGGGGATTCAGCCAATAATACGATGTCATCGGCAAATGCCAAGCATGAAATTTTAGTGTAGATTTCTTGGCGCTCAGTTGTTACGGTGGAAAGACGTAGCCCTGGTCCTTCTCTATTTACTTGTTCTAGTAGGCTGTTAATGTAAATATTGAATAATGTTGGCGATAGTGGGCACCCTTGTTTGAGTCCAATATTTTGTTTCACCTGTCTAGATTTATATTTGCCCAGTTCATACACTGCCGTACACTCTGCATATAGTGCTTTTAGTAATTTGATGAAGTCTTCCTCAATATTGATTTTTTCTAGCTTCTCCCACAGTCGTGAGTGCGGCACTGAGTCATATGCTTGTTGTAGATCCAGGTATGCCAGGTATAGTTGAGATTTGTCTCTGTTTTTCATTTCTATTGCCTGGGTTAGGGTAAAGATATGGTCACTTGTCCGTCTGTTTGGGCGAAATCCATTTTGCGATTCTGACAAGATTAAGGTTTTTCACAGTGGTTTTGTAGCCTGCGATTCAGGATTGTATTGAAGAGTTTCAGAATGTTACTCAGTATTGTTATGGGGCGATACGCCCCAATGTCACTTGTTTCCTTTCCCTTTCCCTTGTGAATCAGCTTTACCCGGCTTTCTTTCCAAGTTCTTGGTATTTTTCTGCTTGCCAGAATGTCGTTGAGGCAGCCGCGTAGCATTTCCTTTGCCTCTGTTTTGAATGCTTTCAGGAATTCGTTGGGTATATCATCGAGTCCTGTTGCTTTCTGGTTTTTTAGATCATTTATGCGTCTCTTTAGTTCTAGTTTAGAAATTGGGCCAGTCAGCTTTTCTTCTTCAGGTGTGCTGGTCTTGTCCTTTTTTTTACTGCTGATCTGGGGTGATGGATCTACTGGATTGGTTTGCATATTTTCAAAATGTTTAGTTATGTGCTGTTCAATTTCTTCTTTGGTATGTAGAGGAATGTTATTTTCAGTAAGTAGTATGAGTGGATCTTCCTGAAGGGTGTCCTTTGGTTCCAGTGTCCTTATGTATGCCCAAAACTTCTGACTGTAATGGTTACGATCCTTATGCAGGTTTTCTTCTTCTTTTTGGAATTTCTGGTCTATCTTTTTTGCGGCCATTTCCTTTACTTTTCTTTTTTGGGCCAGGTATTCCTTCCAAATTACCTCTTTTTCTGTCGACTCATTGGGCGTATGACGGTGCCTTCTGGATAATTCTTTGCGAATGCGAATTTCTGTCTTCAGTTCTCCATCAAACCAAGGTGTGTTTCTGGTCCTTTTTTTTTCACTAGTTTTCCCAATGGTTTCTTGTGCTACTGACAGGCATTTTTCTGCGAATTCCTCGTATGCTAGAGGTTCTGTTAATGTTGACTCGAGTTTATTGGAAAATTCATCCAGGCGCTCTTGCTCTTTCACTCGCCAGTGAGCTTTTGTAGTTTCAGGCCGGTTTACTCGATGGGGTTGATGGCGTCTGAGGCACAGTTTCATTCGGTTGTGGTCACTTCCACAGCTGTTTGTTTTGTCTTCGTCTATGTACAGAGCTGTGATGTTTATATCTTGCCTTACTACCTCTTGATTGTAAAGTATGTAGTCTATAGCAGATTTGTTAGCTCTGCGTGACCATGTGTAGGTGCCTTCACAAGCTGGATGGAGGTTTGCTATTTGTAGGTTGCATTGTTTAATTAATTTTCGGAAGCCAGCAGCATCTTTTTCGTGACCATCCAATTCTACTATGTGGCAGTTGAAATCTCCCATCAGTAGTACCGGTTGGCCTTTGTAGGTTTCTTCAATGTCTTTCTTGAGGCATGCGTAAATGCTGTCATTCCACTTTTGTTCCTCGAGGCCTGTTGCCATGTATATGACACAAATGTACAGGTCACGTGTGTCAATCTTTATTTTTATCCACATGTGTTCCTTGTCCTGACAGTCCCCATTTACAGTGATTCTCTTCGGTGTAATAAAACCAATGCCTCCACCCCGTTTTTGTCCTTTACTTCTGTTCTTTCCTTGCCATACTAGCCCCGGGAGCAGAGGTTGTTCGTCGTCCCGCAGGTGAGTTTCCGTTAGAGCGTAGATATCTATTTTTTGTCTGTTCACTTGGTCTTGGAGTTCAGCCCACTTGAGTTTGTTTGTTCCTTGCATGTTTAGTAGGCATATGGTGAGTTCTTTTTTCACTTCACTCTGCTTTGTTCTTCTGTTTCTTCTTTTTCTGGAAAGTGATTGACAATGATCTCTGGAGGACTGAAATTGGGGGGGGGTTGTGCGTATGGCTTTGCCTGCTTGGTTGCTTACCAGTGCCGGTTTCTCTGTCCTAGTTTGCCTAGGGCTGTTGTCGTTGCTTTCAGTAGCGTTTGCACTGTCCTTTGATCTGGTCTTGTTGATCGTCTCCAGTGTTGTGGGCGCGTTGGTTGTTTGTCCCATAAAAAAGATTTAATGGCCTCACCTAGTTGACTGCCAACCTGGTCCGCTGCCTGTTCCGAGTAGTGGATATCATCCAGGTGATCTGCGGTTAGCTGGGCAGCTGCTGACATAAACCGCACACTGGGGCCCAATGCTGTACACGTCGTTTGAACTTCCGTGTTCCATGTTTGGCATGCTGTAGCAAATTGTTGACCCCTTGCTTTCGGTTCAGGGATGGCACTGACTATGTAGTGGTGTTTGGGTGTCTTTTGGCTCCAGTAAGTCAGTTGTTGCTTCAGGTGGTCAGTGGTCTTTTTAATGTCTGCTTTATTTAAAAGATCAGTAGTACCTACATGTATTATTAGTTGCAGCTCTGTGTTGGTGGCATTTGCCTTCTGAATTTCTCCTTCAGCTCGGTGAAGTGTTTCTTCAAGATTGGCACCAGATTTTGTAGTGATGCGTAGTCTTTGATCATGTATAGCTTTACGGAGGTGCTTTTTCAATCGGTGGGCATTGGAGTCGCCTAGGACTACAGTGCGTTTGCTTTGTGGTGGATGGTCATTTGACTGCATTTGAGGATAGGGATGTTTCTGTTTATGGTCAGCGCTGAGCTGCTGCTGTTTCTGGCTGGTGTTCTCTGTTTTCAAGGGTCGGCCTTTTTTGCCCACTTGTGTCCCAGGATTGCCTTCCTCTGCTAGCTCAACTGTGTGCTCAATGTCTTCACTTATCCTGCTTGTGCCCTGTGATGGAGTGTCTTCCTTCCACTGGCTGCGAAATTGCTTGTCTGAGGGGTGTTTTGGCTCTGGTGTCCCGGAGTCGTGTCGAGGAGTTGAGGTAGCCTGGTCTCCGTTTTCTTGGGCGTCCTGAGTACAGTTTGTCTGTTCGAGTTTTTTTATTTGGGTTTGGAGGGTATCAATCTCTTCCTCGAGTTTTTCACGCAGGTTGCGCTCTGTGCTCAGCAAAGTGTGTAGGTTTTGCCTATCTATTTTAGCTTCCGCTTGAGCAGCTTCCCACTCGGCCTTTATTTGGCTAATTTGTTGTGAGTGTTCGGCACGCAGTTTTATTTCTTGAAGTGCGATTGAAGCCTGCATTGCTGCGAGTCTCGTGCAGAGGTTGCACGTGTATCTGCCTGCCTGGGCTTCTTGTGTGCTGGAGAACGGGGTGTCATCAATGTTTGCCCATTCTTGGCAGGTCTCACATTCTACCATTACTGTTCCGTCCGACGAGTCCTCCTCTACACGGGCACTGGTTCCTTTTGTTGGGGCACCTCGGCGAGTCCGGGTCATGTTGCTATAATTTCTCATAAAATGGTAGTGTATTTTGTGTATTTGTGATGTTCGATTTGTGTTGTTGTTCTGTCTCTATTTGCTATATGTTACCGATAGGCTATTCTGAAGGCTGGGCACCAGTTTCTATTTGAAATTGCCGCCTGGGAGAGTTCCGATTTTAGTTATGTTTGCCGGGACATAGGTGGCGCATGCTGTCCGTTTGCTTGTCGTGCGGGTCTCAGCGCGTTAGGCCTAGGTGTTCAGGTTTGTATTGCGCTGGGTAATATGCAGTAATGCATGTCATCACGTACCAAGTGCGTCTTGACAGGCCCGGGGTTTTCATTGGTCCGCTGATTGCATTCTTGAAGGTGGGTCGCTTCACTTTGCTGCTGATGTTTACACGATCACCACAAGCACGCGCACACAGCAACGCAACCACCACACCGCGAGAAGTCGCCGCGAGAGGCCGTCACTTGTCCACGCGTGCACACGTGATCGCACTGAGAAAGTCGCGGATTCGAAGAAAAAGATAAAAAAGTGCTCAAGGTCACAAGGCGCGCGTGACGTTTTTTGTTTGCTCCTCCCATCCCTACCTGCTTAGCTTCCAGCGCTTTCGTCGGGGCGAGAGAAGAAAGAATGTGATTGCAGCGTGTGACAAATCTTTGTAACTCCGCTCGTACGGGACGGATTCTTAAAATTTTTGTGGCGTTCAGTTTGTGAATACGCTTTTCCAGTGAGTTGATTCCATGGTTACTCAAAAACGTTTTTCGGGGTTCCTTTAAGGAGCACTTTGCAGGTGATAGATGAAGGCCAAAAAATTTTAGAACCCCTGTCCTTTATTTTCTTATCGCGGTGATGTCGGGAATGTTTTTCTGATTGTTACGGCTGTGGCTGCCCATTCGGAGAGTCGACAGGTGTGCGCGTCCTCGTGAGGAAGCACTTCCACTGCGACCGTTAGTTCTTCCCGTCTTCGTCCACCCCTCATAAAATGTCTGATGCGCGAGAACATACCCTGCATCAACGAGGCAAGCTCGTGTAAACACATCATACGACTAAGAGCACGCGTCTAGCCATCGTTTTTTTTTTTTTTTTTGATGACGCCTGATCGTGTTTCGACTTGCACTCGCTTCGTGTCCGCGCTTTGCAGGAGAAATGTCATGCTCGAGCTTTACCTATGTCGCACATAGAATATTGTCGTCACCATCACCATGAAGTGGCACGCGTTTTTTTTTTTCGTCGTCATCTTCATCACCTAGCTGCTTCGCTTCCATACGCGTGCGCCGACTTGTCCGAAATGGAAAAGAATAGCTATGTTGGGCCAGGAAACGAGTTCAGAATGAAAAAGAAATTCTAAGCGAAAAAAAAAGTCTTAACGAAGCGAGATGCGAACACGCAAACACACAATCCGAAGACGAGCATCGTACTCATCCGGTTATCCAAGCACGCTAGAAGAGCCCAGAATAGCCTTGTGTATATTATGTAGTACAGCAAATTGATGCGAAAAGGAATGAAGGATGAGAAGGAGCAAATGGGTCTCTTTGAGATGTGCTCTTAGAGCAAGACATCCAACTAATATATCGTTTCGTGTTAAACAGTGCATTTGGATAGGTTATCTGAATCTGAAGCAACTACATGCTACATTTTATTCAAGGAACCTCAAGCTATTGATACCAAAAATCGAGACAAAAAAAAACGATCAGAAAACAGTGCGTGTTGAACACGGCAGCTTACGGAAAAAGCGAGCGTCCTTCCAGGGACTTCTTAAACTTTGGCCTCGGGGAGTGGCTTTTCGCCGTAAAGTTATTTCAGTGAGGTTCATTCTTGCTACATTTCCAAACCTGGCCCTGAAAAAAAAAATTTTGCAAGCGCTCTTTTCGTGCTTTTGATCGAGAGAAAATGTCAATTCCTTGAACACTAGTGTTTTGTATGAATGAGGGAAGGGTTTATTTATTCCCCCACGCGCGTGCCCTGTAAGGTCTTGATCAGTTTTTGCGGTATTCAGCGCCAGTTCTTGGTAGCGGCCGTGCCTCTGCCTTCGTAGTTTCGATAGCATCTTAACCTCTCGGTTTATTTCAAGTTTTAGTGGCATTCTTCGCGTGGCGTACCAAATTGATGAGCAAGCAACCCTCTCGTGAAACCCCGTACATTGGCACTGTTCGTGACGGGCTCACCTTCGTAGAAGTCGTTCGAGCTTAGCGTCTTGCCAGCCACAACGTTGGTGTCGGCCATGCACTCTTGTCCGACGGCGACGATTTCGTGGGCCAGCTGGCCGTCCAGCACGCACGGTCGCCGTACCACCTCTCCAAGAACGTGCTGCGCAAAACAAGCATGTCCGTTAGAGAGAACACCAGCTTGGGCATTTTGGTGTTCCTTCCTAACGTCTATATAGCGAACAGAACGGACGTGAACATAGAAGTGTGCTGCGTCCAGTCTTTTCTTTGGCATTAAAGGGCCCCTCAACAGGTTTGAGCTGATGAGCGCTTTGCATCGCTCGTGACAGCAGTGCGCATGCGCGCATGACGTGTTCAGGAGTATCCGTCACGTGATCCTCCCGCTCGTGTGCCGAAGAAGGCTGTGAAGGGATAAAAGTTTGCGAAGGCTACACTGGGTGAGCGGCGAGGGTTTCAAGCTCGCCTCCTCGCATCATGGTTTCGCGTCAACGCAAAACACTGGTTTCCTCAGCTCCTACTGGACTGATCAGAAAAAAAAATCTCGCGGAATGATGCTCCCTATTGTGGCGCGCAGCAACTTCCAGTGTCCAACTGAAATTCGTTATGTCACCCGGTGAAGGGCCCTCTAATATTTAATCGACGTAGCGCGTTTTTGAGACATAGGACAAGGGAAGGGACAAAAGGGAGCGCTTACTTCCAACAAAACGTTATTTCGAGGAGCGTACATATATATGCTCATAAAATTCAAAAACAACAAACAAATGAAAAACCCTCTATTGCCATGCGCTAAAAACTTATGATCTCAAAAACGACAATTCTTTTTCACAAAAACCGAGAGAAGGATTGCTGACGCAGTTCAGCCCTAATCTACTGATCCTTTCTGCTTCAATAATCTCCCTTGTCACTTTATTTCTGTTTTTTTTCCTATGATTACCGTGCCATGAAAAAGTGGTTTGCAGCCACACGTGCTGCAATGTAGTGCCAAAAAACCATCTCGACCATTTTTTACGTTGCAAGCGTGTTCGCTCCCTTCTGTCCCTTCCCTTGTCCCATGTTTCAAAACGCGCTACGTCGATTAAGTATGACTAACCAACATGCCCAACTTTATACTCTACCCTCTAATGGCGAATTCCATTGGGAGAGCAGGTGCACTCAAAAGCACGCTCAAAGTGCTCTCTTCCGAGGCGGCGTGTTTCAGTGGTCGAACAGGAGTAGGAGCACTGTCATCCATTGGTAGAGCGAGAGCGCTTTTGCTGCGCCGAGAGCAGCCAGGAGCAGTTCTGTCTGCTCCCTCTTAAAAGCGGAGTGAGTGGAAAACGCAGGAAACCACGTGTTTGGAACGTCATGTCCGGACATACCCTCTCAGCAATCCTCCTCACTTGTTTACATTTTGCGGCGTCGTGTCGGGCGGTTATGGCGGCAGCGAAGCGTGCGTGGTGCTCGGGCTCGAACGATTTTAACGTCGTAGCGGCAGATTCTGGCAGTGAACGTCCACCTTGCCTGCCTTCAGATTCACGGATGGCGGAGGCAGCAAAACGTCGTCGTCTTGCCGAAGTATTTGACGAGCTAGACGATGTCAGCAGCGATAGCTGCTGGAGCTCTACGTCCGAGTCGAGTTCAAGCAGCAGCGACGATGACGACGAAGTGTATGCAGCAGCGTTTCAGCAGCTCTTTTCTCTGCCAGAGCGAAGGCCGAAAGTGGAAGCATATGTTACAAAGACGGTGGCTAGCTACTCCGACGAGGAGGTGAGTCATTCGGCTTCTGTTTTAATTAGGTTGCTTAAAGGCCTGTTTTCTTCCAGTTCAAAAGAAATTTCCGCGTCACGCGGCCGGTCGTGGACTTCTTGGCAGCAGAATTCGCCAAGTCACCGCACTGCCCTCAGAACAGTGATCATGGTGGCCTGCCTGCCAAGTCGGCTGAAGAACACATTCTCTCCTTTCTTTGGTGAGTGTCCGTACGTTTAGGAATGCCGCTGTCATCAGGTCACTGCATAATCCGTTTTATAGTGGGTTAGAGGCATATGAAATATTGCAAATAAATGTACCTAATTCGCAGCATGTCATTGGACCACCTTGCTTTAAACTTGTTAAATGCTACTAGCGAGTGTCGAACGTAATAGAGTTATAGTATTTTGTGAAATGCTTTCGTAGTTTGTACACCTACACACTGAGCTTCACAAAATTCTCGTTACTAGAATCAGTGGCAAAGCATAATTCATGATGCATCATTACAAACAACCATGAAAACTTTTGCTCACGAAGCATTTCAAATCGGCTGTGTCAGCAGGTTCACAGTGAGCTTCATCTCCACACTTATAAATGTAATGCGCGAATTAAAATTAGAATTTGTTATTTAGATAGTGCTTCTACTAATCAAATATTTTGAGTTTCTAAGGTGTCACCCAAAAAGGTGGAATCGTGTTTTCTGACTTCAGTTGTCTTGCTAATTTGCTTCATTGACAGCGACAGCATTGTTAACACCATTATTCAGTCATTGACAGCAACAGCAAGCTTAATTCCATTATTTAATTAGAGTATCCTCTCCTTTTCAGGTATGCAGCCAACAAAGCATGCATTAGAGATGTCGCTGGCCGCTTTGAAGTCGCAGAAAGCACTCACCACAGAATGATGGGCCGAGTAACTGCATTCCTGCTCGACATAGCACCGAATGTAATCAAGTTCCCCAGTGACCTGCAGAAGCTTGCTGTGGATTTTGAGAAGGTAACTATGCTTTTGTAAACATGCTATTTAAGGTATAAACTACAGTTTTTTTCACACCAATGTCATACAGCTCTACACAACTCAAGGGACCAGACTAAGAGGAATTACACCTACTCAAACCACAATAAGGACTGAAAGCAACTGATATGCAGGATCAGAACTGCAAATGAACAGAAAATGTAAAAATGCAAGAGATATGAAAGAGCACCACACAGTCAAGCCTCCTTCATGTGTATTACAAATGCTGTCAGCAATCGGACATTTTTCTTGAGTAGTTTTGACCATGTGATGCTGTTTCATATCTCTTCTATTTTCCCATCTTCTGCTTAGTGATGTACATCTAGTACTTGTCCTGCATGTACAGTGAATAAACCTAGAGTTCAGTTACTTGTGCACTCTGTATGTACTCTGTATGTGTCATTAATTCCCCTTCGTGCGGTCCCATGTGTTCTTTACCGCTCTACTATTACAATTATGAATTAGTTAGTGCCAGAATGCACCTTTTAAATAAGTTATTACAATTATTTTTCCCAGATGCTTCACAATTAAATAGCCAGTTAATTTCAATCATGTGTACCGGTAGTGTATTGCACTCGCCGTTATGAGCTTCAAGTCTCCAGTTTGTTTTAAACTTTTCCGCATGTTATTGGCACCTTTCATTACCCTTAGTGCCATGCTTATTTGACTATGTGTGTGCACATTTTTTTCTCTTGCAGCTGTCGGGATTCCCAGACACAATTGGGTGTGTTGACGGAAGCTACATGCCTATCAGGTGCCCAGCCAGGAAAGTGCGATCTGTTTATATAAACCGGCACCATTACCTATCCTTGACACTTCAAGGTGTTTGTGACAACAAGAAGAGGTTTCTTGATGCCAGCACTGGCTACCCAAGCAAAATTCATGACGCACGCATTTTCCGTCGGTCCAGGATTTCAAGTGTTTTGCCACAACTGTGCTCTAGCAAGTACCATATAGTGGGGGATGCTGCATATCCTTTCCGGGAGTACCTGATGACACCAATTCGAGACTATGGGAATCTTGACAGCATCAAAAAAACCTTCAATGCAAGACTCTCCGGGACAAGGGTGCTTATTGAAAATACTTTTGGCGATTTAAAAAATCGTTTCAGACAACTGCACAGGTTGGATATGTGGACAGTGGATAACATGTCCAAGTTTATCATTTCATGCTGTGTGCTTCACAACCTCTGCATTGATTGTGGAGATTTGCCAGAGAACCTGTCACGAGACCTGTCACTTACCTCACAAACAACAAATGTAGACTCAAGCTCTTCTGCAGTTCAAGTAAGCAGCAGTAGTGTAGCCCAACAGGATAGCCTATTACGTGGCTTGGCTAGCATCAAGAGAGATCACTTGATGATAAAAATGGGGTTGCAGAACCAGCAGCCATGAAACAAGGAATTCCTTTACGTGTTATGCAGTTGTGAGCAAATATATGCTTACCAAAGGCCCACCTGAAAAGCTGAACTCGTTAAAACACCTTCAAGGTTGGGAAAAATTGTCCTTACCACACACCTGTTGGCCCATTTGCATTTTCTCAAGGTAGTGTATTGTGCCAAACTAGAAAATAAAAGACATTGAAACTAAGTAATCGCTTTGGGTAGTACGTTTATTTATTTAAAACTACCACTTTATTTTGGAAGTCCAAAGGCCTGACGGAGAATCTCCATTTTTTCTTCATGCATTTTGCGCCGCTCTTCACGAAGCACCTGTCGCTCGGCCTGCCTTTCAGCTCTTCGATTTTCTTTTTCTTGACGTCTGGCCGCCTTTTGAGCCTCCTTTTCTTCTTGCAGTGCCCTCATTTCAGTAAAAAACAACTGCATGTGTGCCAGGCGTGCAGTTCCTACCCGTGGCTTCGTGTCGGGATTTGAGGACTGCGACTTATTTTCCTCAGTGGTGTTGGCAGGTGACAACACGGCCGGAGATTCGGGCGAGGCTTTGAATGTAGCCCCTGAGGCGTCTCGCTCTACCTCCGGTTCAATGCTGTCATCAATGCTTTCAATTTTTTTCACCTCGTCGTCAAAAGGCACAGGGGTGGGTGAAGCACCAGACCTTTTGTTATGGTCGGAAGACGCCTTCCGACGCCTAATTACTGTTTTGTACCTATTTTCACACTGTTCTGGGGTTTTGGCTATGCCAAGCACAGCCTCGATGTCCATCGATATTTGTTTAAAGGCTTGCTTCCTGTTTTTGAATTTTTAAATGGGCCAATCTGAGGGAAATATTTGAGGTAGTACTCTAGGAGCAGCCTTGTTTGCCCCTCTGTCCATTCAGCAGCTAGAATAAGAAAGAACCAACACATAAATGGTTTATTGGGAAACTGTCGGTCATTGTGCAGGCATTACTTATAATTGAATAATTTAACACACATCACGGTCACTTGAGCTTAATTATCAATCAGCAAGCATTAATCAACAAAACAAGCATTTGCGCAGACTAGCAAACATACATAAGTGATAAGTTCTGGTATTGTGCATGTAAATGCAATATGCAAATTGTGCCAGTCTTCCAGTAATTGTAGTGGTCTGCTTTCCATGCTCTCTTTTTTTTTTTGTCATTTAAGGATCACTCCTACAAGTACACTTTTACACGCTCTGATGCATGCTTGTTAGATTTACCCAAGAACACTTGCTGAGGCAATTGTAGACACTCAGTGTTAATATACTTGCCTCCACCTCCTCTCCTGGAGCCTGATGGCTTGCTTTGAGCACCAGTCTCCCCGTCAGCTGATCTTGATGCAGTGGGAGCTGGCAGGTGCAGAGTATCTGTGCCATCTAAAAAATATAAATGAGCAGTAAATGTAGTGCCTCGCAATAATGTTAATACTAATACTTACCACCTCCTGTTTCAACGCATGGCAATCTGAGCTCCATGCGCATTTCTTCGCTCCCTCGCCTTGGCACATCGCCAGCCATATTTGTACGCAGAACTGCATCTGTTTTCACACAATGATGGAAATGTAATCAAATCAGTTATATAATGAAAATGGTTTCTCAAGTAGTCAGCTACATTATGCAAACTCGGATGCCTTACACTCGAAGGTAAGCGGATTAGAGCAAGCAAAAAACAAATTCTAAAAAAGTCAATTCATCATGTTACAGGGCTGCATGAAACACTGCACAAATCACTGATAATTAAAAAAAAATATCGCTTATCATACGTAGCATCTCGACCCTGCGATAAGAAATCGTGCTTCCGAGGAGATGTATGGCTTCACCGTATCACGTGGGATGCTGATCTGCCGTCTGGAGACATTAGCCACTTAAAAATCAGAAATAAAAATAAATTGTTACTGCGTGCAATACTTAGCTGCACCCACGTGACACTTGCTACACGCCACTTCGCAGTTACTTTTCTTAAAACGCTGCGAATCATTCTGTTACTGATGGAGGGGTCTGCAATGTAAGTTTGTTTTGAATTAAGGATTAATTACTCATGCAAGGAAACTTGGCAACAGGATAGTGTACTGCAGTACTTCTAGAATTGTTTACGTTTTGTTAACTGCTGATGACAGCAGCAGCTGGTAACTGCATGAACAGTCTGATAAAGCTGTCATATCCACGGTGTTTTTCTGATATGATAAAGAATAGTGGGCTTAGGTCCACGCGCGCAAGAATGCATTGCATGCTGCATGCGCGACAAGTGCGCTGAAACAAATAAAAAGCAATCAAATTCACTTTACCTTCCGTACTAGATGGTGCCTGGTGTTGAATTAAAGACAGTAGGATGCGCTGAGCTTCCGAGTCCATCATGTAGTAGTATACGAAGCAGCAGCTTTGCAGGATAGCGCGCAAGCGAGTGCGCTGTACCAACCACTGCCACACGTGCTTTCCTTGCCCGTCCGGATCAGACCGCACGTGTTTTGCAGCAGAGGACGCTGGGATGCACAACCTTTCTCCTCACTCGCCTTTTTATTCCCTCACACCTGCTCTGCGGAGGTGTGCCGCATTCCAGTGGCAGGTCGAGTGACGCGGCTCTCAGTGCTCTGCCCCCTACTCCTCTCTGCTCGGCACCCTTACTCCTGTTCTCTCAATGGAATTCGCCATAAGATGCTTGTCCGACGGTTCACCGAAACGTCGGCCCGAAAGTGTACGCGTGTATACGACACGGCGGCGAAGTGCGTGACGACATGAGATGCTCACCAGCTCGAGCTCTTCCCGGAGCAGGCCATTCACCGCTGCAGTGCTCACGACCACGGAACCGGCCGGAATACCTGCAGTCATCGATCGCATGTTCAAGTTAACAAAAGAATCGAAGCAGGAATCGACTAGTCTCCGTAACAAGATTGGTATTCCATTGTTAGTCAAGAGACCTTGCAGCACACCTGACGATACAGCTTGTGAAATTCCTTCAGGCTTTAGTAGTCAAGCCACGATTTTGTCGCATGATAAGGAGAACGCGTTTCTAGACACGTGTAGTGATTGGTATAAATTATAAGCGATATGAAACGTAAACAAAAAAGTGTTAATCCTGGCACAAAAGTTTTTTTTTCTTCTGTGTCCTGCTCTGCGCATGTGTGAAGTTTCTGATTGATTTGTGACGTCCCAAAACCACGCTATGATTATGAGAGACACCGCAGTGGAGAACTCCGGAAATTTTGACCACCTGGGGTTCTTTAACGTGCACATAAATCTGAGCACACGGGCCTACATCATTTCCGCCTCCATCGGAAATGCAGCCGCTGCAGCCGGGATTCGATCCCGCGCCCTTCGGGTCAGCAGCCGAGTACCTTAGCCACTACCTTAGCCACGACAATGTTTTTTTTCTTCTGAACAATGAAAAATCAGTCGTCAGCGTAAGCGTTAAACTTCCATTGTCTGCTGATCAGTGCGCTTATAGTGCAACCACCTCTGAAAATGCGAAAACCGAGCGAGCTATTCTCTCCCGGTGTTTTCACCCCCGTATTCTAGAACGCCCCTCCACTTTCACTTGAGAAAGGCGATGGTAGCGCCATCTCGGCAGGGCGAGTCACTGCATATCAGTGATTATTTGCTACTGTACTTGAGTAGCGCAGTGTCATTTTCAGCCGAGCAACGGCGCAGTGCTCAACTCCGTCAAGTGAAGGGTGAAAGTCGAGTCGAGGAGCGTTTGTGAATACGGGGGTCAGTATATGAAACACAATGCACGATGCACCAACTGCGAAATATTCGTGCAACTCCATTCGTTGTTGAAGCATTAGAATGTGTTTTTTAATTGTTCTTTCTGCCATCGATTTGTCAGGCAGTAAACTATACGATACTGAACTCATTCGATGATCACGTATTTATAGTGAAGTGTTTCAGGACCCTTTGATAGTGCGAGAATGAATTGAGAACATCTTAAACTCGTCTTCGGTGTGTATACTTGCACAGATACTATAGAAAACAATATAGCTCACCGATTCCACCGCTGGTGCCTATGCGGACTGAGCACGACATCCCGGCAGTGAGCATAGTGGATCAACTTGAGGATCTCGTGCATCAGAATGGACAGGGAAGGGGCGCCCATGCCGTGCTGCGATGAGACATGCACGTACTTGGAGGTCACGAAACAAGGTATAGACACGGACACAAGGGTAACAAAAAAAAAAAAAAAGAACGAGAATGCTGAGGGAGTGTGTACGATGTAAGCGCAGTTTTGGTGAAGCAAACTAATCACACCGAGCAAATAAAAGCTTAAAAGAAAACTACATTTCGGCTTCAATACGGAAGCTTTGTTCACAGTCAAGGTGTACCTCCGTTGCCCGACCGGACGGTTTCCTTCGAACTCTGGATTTTAAGCGGTATTTTATATACCACAAGTGCAATATTCGGAAGCAACGCACGCAATGGTTGAGGTCTTCACATCGTTAGTAGTGAAAGTGCGTGCGTGAAGTGCAGCATTCGAATACATTGCACAGAGAAAAAGTGTCTGAACGCGTATAAAAGCCCACGTGCGTCCGATCGACAGTTGCGCATCTTAAGATGAGTTTTTGTGCGTCTGTAGTTTCTTTTTCGCCCCCATTTTCGCCCGCTAGTCGGCTTATGTGTAGATCTCTTCTTGTTTGCTTGTCATTACAAATTCTCAGTAAAGAGTTCACACTTATGTCACTCTTAAACTGTCATAAAAATTACCGACCGCAAAAAAATAATACGAAAAAGACGTTTCGACTCACCTGGCATGCAGGAGCCTTGTGCACAATTAAAACGGGAGCGTGTGAAGTGATGGTTATGAATGCTTTTAGATGTGGCGTAAGGAGAGGTTCGAGGAACCTGGTTCAGGCGACCAATACTACATGCATGATCCTAAATGATGAACCGCTTTTTTAGGGGCGAAGCTTCTTAAGGGGTGGGTCTGTCCATCCCTTGTATGTATGTACGTAGTAGTACGTAACCACCGGTGGCACATACCCGCTCTAGAGCGGGTATGGGGATGCGAGAAGGGAGATGGCGGTACTTGGAGTGTTCACTATAGATGGACGGACGGACAGATAGACGCGCGGACGTACGGACAGATGGACGGACGGACGGACAGATGAATGGACGGACTCATGGACGGACGCATGGATGGACAAACGGATGGTCGCGTGGACGGACGCAAGCAAGAACGGACGGACGGAAGCACGGACGGGCTGACGGACGCTTCGCCCCACTCATCATCATTCACTCTGTGAATATGCGGTGATCTTTTTTGTAAAGAACTGAACAGGGTGATTCTGGCCGTTAAAATCAGTGTTTACTGCATAAATCCGAGTTCTTGAAAATTTTACCGGCGAATATTCATCGATTTTTCTTTGTATCGATACGTAAAATAGGAAGTCCCACGCGTAGTTTATTATTTATCAAAATTCATAAAATTAATTAGCAATGCGATTTAAATATATATCAAGAGCAATTTTGTTGTTTCTGCTGTACCTTGAACGATACCAAGTGTGGTCCGATGGACCGTGGAAGAAACAGTGAAGGTATACTCACGCTGACCGATAGTACGGGTCCGCACTTGTACATAGCGTAGCGATACGACCGGTGGCTGATGTCGTACAGCTCAGCACCCGTCGGTAGCTGGATGCCCAGGCGACGCTTGACGAAGTGCGCGAACTCTTGCATCCGAGCTGGGGTTCCGCCCATGCACACAAACTGCGTCGGGGCCAGAAACAATGTCAAGCGTCGTGCGTAGTGCCTTAGGAATAACAAAGAAATTGCAAGAGGCTCTGGGAAACGATCCGGGAAAGGGGGACTGCAACTTAGCCCAAGGTCATTGATGGCTGCGAATATTTGGCGAATGCCGGTCCGGCTGTTGAACAGCACATGCCGCACGTTTATCCTGCAATATCGCAACTCACACGGACATTGAGCTTGAGGAATCTAACGCAGCCTTCGAGTGTTGGAACGCTCTTTGTGGATACTCGTTATGGGTGGGTCCCTCCACACCGCCCAAACGAATCGTTTCGCATTGCAAGCCTGGACGTGAGAACCGTCGTGCTTGATTGAGCGCCAGTTTCTCGAAGACTACGCAGTGCGGCCGAAGACGCGCAGCTTCTAGACCTCGGAACTACGGTAAACGCGAGTCCGAGAACAGGTGGCACCAACCGGGGCCATCCACTCACCAGTGCCGGATGGTGTATCACTACCACGTTGGCTTCGTGCATGCGAAAACGACTATAGGCGGAACTGCAGCGCCAGTTCGTATAGCATACGAGCGCTATCTATTGCACCTCTTTGAAGATAGCCCGACTCCAATATAAGGAATGGTTGCATCCAGTACACTTCAGGACTAGTCCTGAAGTGTACCATTTCACGTTTAAATGATTGTAGACTACACAGCCGTTGGATTGGATTGTCTGCACCACACTTAATTTAGTTCTTTATAAAGTGAGTGCGCTAAAGATTGAGAACAATGTCGTGCGATACTTATTTAAATTACACAAAAATTTCCCGCTCTCCCTTCGTTATGCAACGACCAATGGATGATATCCAGATACAGATCGCCTTCCCGTCACAAGAAGTCGGGAGCACATTTCTTAAGGTTGATATCTGCGTGTATACAAGTCGTGGGTTCCGGTGGCCTGCGGTCGGGACTAATTGATCATTGATCATTACACAAAACAGATAAATCAGGGGATCGTTTCTTTGTTGGCTACAACATATTGACACTAAATAAAGCCATGGAAGGTATAGCCAATATCACTTGCACTCTTTTGTAGTAATTATGACGCCAGTGTAAATAATTACAGTGAATAAAAGAACTTAACGTGGCATGATAGCTTTCACGGAGCACCATAAGAAGTGAACCACAATACTTTTTTTTTTAATATTTTGAGCGCACTTTATCTTGAGATATTATTTTTCTTCACTGAAAAGTGGGAATACAACTACTAATAGAAGCTTAAATTGAAATGCCTATAAGTGTAACCAACGTTATTTTATGCATCATTTAAACGTGGTGCAGCACGAGGCTGTATTATTACCATAAATGAAAAAAATTCGACAAATAAGAAACACTCGCTCGTAAAACAGCTGTGATTTAGTTTTGCGCGTTACTGATTAAAATCCTGAGAAGCACTCAATGCCGCTCGCTTTACTTACTTTCTTCAGGCCATACCTTTATAGCCGCGGCGCCAGAATTTGTCGCCACCACGTGGCTATAGCTGAATCTTTCGAAACTTTCCAACCTTTCGGTCAAGAGCCGATCGCGCTAGCCAATTGCGCCACGGAGACAGTCGTGCTCCACTCTCACCAGCATCAGAACATACCTTCAAAGCTATCAGCGCAAAAAAAAAAAAAAAAGCAACACACCACTCCCGGGAGGGCTCGAACCTCCAACTATTCGGTTAAAAGCCGATCGCGCTAGCCAGTTGCGCCACGGAAACAGTCGTGTTCCACTTTCACCACCATCAAAACATACCTTCAAAGCTATCAGCGCAAAAAAAAGCTCCTGCTAACCGAGTGCTCCTGCTAACAAATCATGGAAGCAGGGTGGTCCGATGCAGTCAAATGTAAGGCATTACTGAGAAAAAATGCGAAACACGAGACACTTCTGAAGAGTTCTTCGCACCTCTTGCGGGACACGAGACAATGGCGCTCAACACGGGACAGTCGTCTTACCTTGAGGTCGCCAAACATGTGCTGCAGGTCGTGCGTGTCCGTGCTCAGGGCTAGGTGGTACAGGTGATCGGTCTCCATGTTCGAGAGGTGCGGGTTGCGCAACCGTAGCACACCTTCGTCCTGCATGTCGCTGCCGCCGTCTGGCCTGCAACAAAGGCCAGAACCGTCATACTATATCTCGTCATACTATGTCTCGTCATACCAGGAACCGTCATACTACGTCTCGAGTGTGTGTTTTGTACAATTTTCTTTTATTATATAAATAAGTGCGCTGCTTGCGCTGTAGAGGCAGCTGCTGTCCTTTGTCATGATGCTTGTTTTTCAAGCAACATTTATCCGCAGTGCCCTCCATCTATTGCGGAAGGAAAGAAGTTATTATTCACTCTTAAAAAAAGTTAGTAAAAAGGTAGCAACTGCAAGCAAATAGGTAGTAACTGCAGCGGTTACTACTTTTCTTGAAGCGTTACTACTCTTTTGCTATCTGTTTACTACCTACGTTAGTAAGCAGTTACTAGCTGCAACCATTACTAACTTTTTGCGACCTGTTTACTAGCAACGTTAGTAAACAGCTAGTGAATAGATTGAAATAGGTAGTAACTGCAGCCGTTACTATCTTTCTTGCCCTCTTACTGCCCCGCCGCGGTGGTCTAGTGGCTAAGGTACTCGGCTGCTGACCCGCAAGTCGCGGGATCAAATTCCGGCTGCGGCGGCTGCATTGCCGATGGAGGTGGAAATGTTGTAGGCCCGTGTGCTCAAATTTGGTTGCACGTTAAAGAACCCCAGGTGGTCGAAATTTTCGGAGCCCTCTACTACGGCGTCTTTCATAATCATATGGTGGTTTTGGGACGTTAAACCCCACATATCAATCAATTGCCCTGTTACTACCTTTTTGCTACTCGGCTGTTGATTATCTAATCCAAAATAGTGTGTGATTCCGATTCTGATCATTTTTTAGAGGAATCATATCTATGCATACTCATTAAACGGAAAAATGACGCGGAAGATATCCATAAACCGAAAAAATGCATTTTGTTTTAATATACGCAACCGAGATATGTAAACGTCATTGTGGTATTGTCGAAACAAAGAAGCACGAGTTAAAGAACTATAAGCAAGTGCTAGACGTGTTGTAATAGACAATCACAACAAACTTAGTAAATTACAGAATTAAAAAGACCGGAAAATAAAAATAACCAGATGGTAACAATTAGCCCCGAGGACGGTCACAATCCACTGCGGCGCGTCTCCCAATATTATCATTGCTTGGGCACGTCAAACCCATGCCATGTGAAGCATTAAAATGCACTGAGAATGAGTTCGGTACCTTGTTTCGGCCATTGTTTATAATGCCTTTTTGTGGCCCTTTATAATAAATAGATATGATATATAATTTTATAAGTAAGTCTGATTAAAAGTCGTGTGCTACGTCCCCGAGCACACGTAACCAGGTAGTATGATATAATGGTATAGGTTCACATTTGTTATAATTCATCCTGAAACATAAGTGCTCCCTTGTGCCAGACATGCACGTGCACAGTAAGGGATATATATACCCCACGCTTACTTCGTACACTGCATGTGTACAAAAGTAGTGAACTTGTTAGGTCTCAGTGTTCTTCGTGTTCGTGGCACACCACGCTACTTTACCCGAAGTTGTGTAGTAATAAGACACTGATTTACCAACATTATTAATGCAGAAATAATGTGCCAAAATGAATGAACAAGGTGGAGAGTGTTGATATGCTGGCCACTATTATTCGACGAGAAGTGCAAAAGAACTTTCGCTGACGCTAAGGAGAGGACAAGTTCTCACGACCAACCTGCAAGACGATAGTTATAGCGCGAGAACAAAACGACGACACAGAGACAAGAAGGACACGAAAGACAGAACCGTCATACTAGTCTCTGTGTCGTCGTTTTGTTCTCGCGCAATAACTATCGTCATGCCATACCAACTAGCCCAAGCTGCCACACTTCTAAGTTACAACCTGCAAGACCATGCATGCTGGCGGGCCCAACTTATCTGATTTCTGATTTCAGTAAAAAATTGGCGTAGCAAGCACTGAAGGCGCAATGCTGAAGATACAGCGAACCTGATGGTCACCATGGTAAACTCCTGATTCTCGCGATTCTGTTAACTGTAGCAAGTTCCGTTTTTCTTCCTCTAACTGCTTGTTCTTTTTTTTCTGTGCTGTGTATACATTTGTTTATTTATCTATCGCAGAGATGTTCGCGATACTTTTTCGCAGACTAGTTGGTTCATACTTGAAAAATTGAATTGCTGCACAAACTTGAAGAAAAAAACAAGGGAGACAGGAAAGAGACAGGACTGCGCTCTTTCCTGTCCTCCTCTTGTTTTTCTTCAAGTTTGTGCAGCAATTCAATTTTTCGAGATGTTCGCGTTAAGCCACACAGTTGCAGCCACCGTACTGATGTCCGAACTCCCGGGACACGACCTCGCGTTGAAACCGAGTGTTCGCGCCTCCCGTAAAATCTACCGGGGCACGACGTCATTCGCGTACGGCATCCACCGCTTCGGTTTCTTCACGCAGCCGCCGTCGTCTTGCCCGTCCCTTATATAACGTTATCTCCTTGTACATACATACCGCTGAAGCACTCCGCACAGACGTTTGACCGAAGCTGAAGCGTAGCGACCAAGCTGTTTATCACCGGGTTAATCCCAAAGGCTAATAACGCTTTCTTCAATTGCTGGTTATTATATCTGTCTAGAAATCTTCATTGGCCCATCCCGCCCGCCTGTTGCCTTCTTTTTTAGTGATCCAGCGTTGAGTAGCAGGATTAGCGGAAATTCTGAGGCACACACTCATTGATGAAGATTATGGAAAATAGGAGGAAAAGAACGGCAGTGAGGTTAACCAGTCTATAGGTATCCGGTTTGCTACCCTGCATGCGCATGAGAGGGGGAGATGAAAGTAGAGAAGAAAGAAGAGAGATAAGCACAGCACATTAAGATGATAGTGTTTGGGCTTAACTGTCCAAGTTTTTGTTTCTTCAACGAGACACTCTATAAATTACTTTGACGTTCTCACGTCAATTGCAACCTGGTGCCATAGTGTTTTGCTTCCTCAGCTTCACGCAGCCGAAGATCGCGCCAGCTAGCAAGCAAGCTCCCGCGCCAGCTAGCAAGCAAGCTCCCGTAGCTGGCTCGAAAGTGTTCAATGCCTGGGTCTACCAAGATTTCAGTGTCGTATTTCCGTCACGAATATGACGTGGATAAAACGGGCACTGGCCGATGCTGAAAACAAGTTCCGCTTCCGGTGGTAGAACCTACGACCGGAGAATTCGCGATGATAAGCACCTGGCACTCTGCCGACGAAGCTATTTCTCTTTAATTATTAGGGCTAAGCAAGGCGCATGTCTGACACTCCACAAACGCGGCTTATATCTCTCACACATTCTTTTTTGCATGGTACCCTGTTGGCAGGGTTCCGGAACGGGACTGTGCCGCCGTGTGTGAGTGGTGAGAAGGGGTAATGCGTCAAGTAGCACCGATTGGGAACGGTTCGGCGACGACGCATTTAGAGCATGGCCTCCAAGATTGTCCGTAATCTCTGAGTTTATGGATAAAGCGTGTCGATACCAGCCAGGAACAGTGGCCGATCTGCCATCAGGGATCCGCCCTATAGAGGCAGTTATGTTATTTGCATTTCGCTTCGTTTTAAAGCGTAACGGCTCATCATCGGAGTTGTGCAGCTTCCCCGTGCACCAGAATCTGCGTCGCCGATTACTTCGAGTGCGATAGCAACCACTTATAAAACTGTGGCAATGAGCGCTGCAGAAAGGAAACTGTGTTGGCAGGCGAATGTCATGCCTTGGTGGAGCGAGACAGAGGCTAACGAAATAGACCTCTCTCTCTCCCGTGTTGCAAAACTAAGTGTGGTATAGTGTATGCACGAGTACAGGCGATCGCCCAGAGTGCCGTTTCTCTCCTCAGTCGACGAAGCTTTGATGAAGAGCATATCGAGTACCAGTGTTTATTATGTGCTTCTTGATGTTATAGCTTTACGTGACATTAACAATATGATGGTCCAAGTATAAGCAAACGTAGGTACCACAACGGTTAAATGATGATGTGTTTAGAAGTTGTGTTTAAAGATTTATAGTAATTAGTGTTTGACTACCAGAAAGACGTCTCAGTGAAAGAGGTATTAATCTTCCAGCCACAGTGCTCGCGTTAGCCGTTGCGATGGAGATGTGCAATTATAGGCGTCAATGCGGGCGCATACATGGTAAACGGTGCTATAGCTGCCCATAAACATCCGTACAGGTTCTCATACATCAATACACAATAAAAAATGAACTATTTCTTTGAAGACACGTCTCACTTTCGCGTTATACCCATTTCCATGACGAAGGGATCTGCCATGTTGTTTTTTTCGTCATTATTACAATGCAAGATATATAGCGGGAGTGCAAGCGGATCCCATTATCCCATTATTTCAATCGTTTGTGCCTGGGCTTAACGAAATGTTTGCACGCGCAGTGGACCAAGGCGATGTGCTGCTCCCCTTCACACCCAGACGCCGAGTTTCCCTGCACAACCTTTTAAGGAGAGCCTCCTCTCCAGCCTCCTCTCCAGCCTCCTCTCCAGGGTTTCATGGGGGGGGGGGGGGGAGGCTCGTTGCCTTTCGCCCTGGGAATCGGTAACGTCCCCTGCGCACCCCCGGCTTTTTGTGTGCGACTTACCGCCTCAGCGCCGGAGTGCAAAGCCGCGAAGGGTACCTCTCGTGTGCTTGCCATTTGTGCTTTCCCGTTGTCGTGTGCAACGGCTCCACGGCGCAGTCAATTGTGCCAGACAAAGATCTCGTCTCTGTTACGACCGGCCCGAAACTAGCCACGGGAGCAACTGAAGGCGAATTTAGGGTTAGCGCTATAGCGAGTTCTGTCACTCTTTAACCACCGCACTGTTAGGTACCGTGATGGCACTTAACAGCGCAGAAAACACGAGAAATGCAAAAAAAAAAAAGCAGAACCAGACAAAACGAGCGCTTCTCCTGTCTGCTTCTGCTCTCTGGTGTTTGTGCGTTTAATCGCTTCCCATCCAAATACATTGTCGAAATCCGACGCGGCAAGTGTAGTAAAAAAAAACGGGGGCCATTTAAAACACATTCTACCGGGCTCTGTATGGTTGGGAGGATCCTGCGTGCGTGACACATTTCCTGTACGAGCCCACTCAGAGTGAACGCGGAATGAGCAAGGACTCGCGCCACACAACGAAAGGCGTTCGCTGACAGGGAAGCGATTACTTACATTGTCGCGGCTAACTTCAGCTTCGCCGCGTAACATGGCTTGGTAGATACAGCGTGTTTCACTCCGTAGCCCACGATGACCGGCACAAGGTTAGAGCACATGATGGTGGCCGCAAACGGCGCGCGAAGCGACGAACCACGTGCGTTGCCACAAGCCTGAGCGTGCGGCTGAAGCAGGCAGCGGAGTTCGGAGTCCCTTTTTCCCGTGATGCACTGCGTCAACGCACGGTGACGCGCGCGACTGAAAGGTCCATTGTCGTTACGCGCGAGCAGCGAAGCGAATATAGAAGCGGGTGGCAGTGCGACCAACGGAATGGAATCGAAAAACTTTAACACCTGCGAGTGTTGAAGATTGGGCGAGTTGGTTCGTCGTACTTGAACTGGTATAGCGCATTATGGGGAAAAAAAAGAAGAAACGGCCGAGCAGATGTTAGCGCTCTGTCCTCTTGTGTCGGTCTGCTCGGCCGTTTCTTCTTTTTTTTCCTCCATAATGCGCTATACCAGTTCAAGTTTAACACCTGTTTTCTTTTTTGTCTTCTTCTTCTTTGCGCGGCCCCTTCGCGGGTAGCCGGCTTTCCTTTTTTTCCTTGCTTGCCTGCTTCTCTTTTGTTGTGGCGGAGAGGAGAAAAAGGAGATTCAGGTTGCCGCTAGGGTTACTCTGCAGCGCCATGTAGATTCGCTCGCAGGATTTCAAGCTGGACGGTTGTGCCCTCGCGATCTCCGACGCCAGCGTAGCTCCCGCCGACTGGCTCACCCTCCGCGGTCTCCTGACGCCGTGCAGCTCTCGCATTGTGGCGCCCCGCCCTTGGACTGCTTCGACCGGATCTCCACTTTCCTATCTCCTTTTTCTCTCGCTTGGCTGTCTTCTTCTCCGTCTATTTTCCTTCTATTCTTTTTATCCCCCCCCCCCCCCTATAAGGCACTGCGTCGTGTCGCCTGAAGGCAGACAGAAATTAGGTGCCTTTTTCCTCTTCATTCTAACCACTACCACCACCACCAGCGCCATGTATGGACAGCGGTGCCTTTGGAGTTCACAATACCGCGAGTTGCCACGATAAGCGTGTGTAAAAATGCCAAAAAGAAAGAGGGGGGGACACTGTAACAATAGCGACCGACATATAGCGTTACATTTTCCTGGGATGAACCACGTATTTTGAGAAGACTAACGAAACAATTACTACGGTAATTACAGACATGAATTATTAACATCCTATTAAAGCAATACAAGCGGTCGGGTCTTCTCGCGGAAGTCCTTCCTGCGAAGAACTCATTGCCACTGAGATTTCCAAAAAGCGGACACGGGGAATTTCCGCGACCAGATAAAATCCTACTAAATAAAGCTAAACGCCATAATGCGCAACTGCCACGCTGTTGGAAGACGAACGCAGTGGGCAAGCGTCGATCTACATCGCTTCATGCTCGGAGTGGCGCTTGTGGTATTTATTTTTATTTAATAATACTGTCAACCCTCGCTTGAGAGTCATAACAGGGAGGGAGTACAATATGAGTACAAACAGAACACCTAAAGAAACCACTAAGCAATAAACACAGGAAAACAGAATGGGCAGTACTTCAACCATTACCAAAATAAGCATCAATTTCTCTGTCAAAAGTTTGCACATCGGTACACTTAATAACATGTTGGGGTAAAGAATTCCATTGTTCTATAGCATCCGGGAAAAATGACCACCGAAAGATGTCAGTGCGAGTGCTAAAAGGTTCAATGGGGGCATCATGATTCAATCTAGTGCTACGTATAGCGCGCATGGCGAGACACCTCTGTTATGGTTGTCTCAAACAGTGCCGTACTATTAATTCATGCTAGCGGGTGGGTGTCCTTGCATGAGCGATGAATGAGGGGTGATGCCTCACGATACAAAGAGGCTAAAAGGGTTTGCACCCTCACTAGTTATAACATGCCTCCCCGTCTTTTATGGGCAATCGCAAGCACGACCATGGTTGTGCATTTGCACGAAAAGAAAAAAGTTCACGTCAATTTGTGCGTCACTTTGCAGTTTACCACGCATGTGCGTAATGTCCACAAGGATGCCTTTCAGCAGTAGAGCTGTTGTTCCAGTTAATAATGCCTTATAACAACCAACAGCCTCTTTTTTTCGCAGTCACCACATCCGTACCAGTGCAGCATGTGATGATATGCCTAACTAAAATATGTTGTCAGCTCCGACTTGCCTTCACACTTTCTAGTTCCTTGGATCCTCTCAGGGCACACGTAGTTCCAATTTGCTAACCCCATTTTTTGCGAGAACCGATGCCTTTATGTATTCTTTTTTTCCGCGAACAGTGTCGGACTGGAACAAGTTATGCGAACCTCATTCATTGTAACGTATGTGTAACGTATTGTAAAGTATGAGGTATGCAATGTTTTGTCGTTGTTTGGCGTAAGTTACTACTTGTGTTGTGGAACATAGTGTAATGCAGTATTGTAGAACCGGGTGTGTTGTTGCTTTGCATATTGAAGTTTATTGTAGTGTATAGAGCGAAGCGTGATGTTGTTACATAACGAAGTGTATTGTAGCGTGTAAAACAAAGTGTGTTTTTCGTATGATGTACGTCATTACGTCTGTGGTATGCGTGACGTGCCCTTCCTGCTTGGACCACTTAGTGTCCACAGTATGTATTAAATAAATAAATAAATAAATAAATAAATAAATAAATAAATAAATAAATAAATAATAGTTGTGAGGAAAGAAGCACCCCATCACAGTGCATCGACAACTGACAGCAGCCCATTAATCTTCAGCCGCAACTTCAGAGACGTCACTGGACGCAGCGAGTGCGTTCGGATGCTTCGTGTGCAGAAGAAAGCGTGCATGCGCGTGGCCGAGATGCAAGGCCGCCGGGAGAACGCAGCGATGCGTGAGGCTTTCCGCCTACACATGCACTGCTTGCAGGGCTGCTTTACATGAGCAGTATAAATCGAATGTCACGCTACGGAAGAACAGCTGTACGTGAATATGAAACGAAGCCGGGTCGACATTGTTCGAACATGTGAGCGTACCGTTGCTCGGAATACGCCTGCTGACTATACGTATGACCGAAGCGAATCTTCAAACAACAACAACAACAACAACAACAACAACAACAACAACAACAACAACAACAACAACAACAACAACAACAACAACAACGACAACAACGACGACGACGACGACGACGACGACGACGACGGCGACGACGACGACGACGACGACGACGACAACGATAACGACAACGATAACGACAACGATAACGACAACGATAACGACAACGATAACGATAACGACAACGATAACGATAACGACAACGATAACGATAACGACAACGATAACGATAACGACAACGATAACGACAACGATAACGACAACGATAACGACAACGATAACGACAACGATAACGACAACGATGACGACAACGATGACGACAACGATGACGACAACGATGACGACAACGATGACGACAACGATGACGACAACGACGACGATAACGATGACGACAACGATAACGACAACGATGACGACAACGACGACGATAACGATAACGACGACGATAACGATAACAACAACGATAACGACGACGACGACGATAACGACGACGACAACGATAACGACGACGATAACGACGACGATAACGATAACGACGACGACAACGATAACGACGACGATAACGATAACGACGACGATAACGATAACAACAACAATAACGATAACGACGACGATAACGATAACAACAACAATAACGATAACGACGACGACAACGATAACAACAACGATAACGATAATGACGACGACAACGATAACAACAACGATAACAATAATAATAATAATAATAATTATAATATCTGTGGCTTTGCATGCGAGAACCACGATGTCCGTATGAGAGACATCGTATAGGGAACAGTAAACGGTCCTTCAGCGTTTTGCCTCCATCGATGCTCGACCGCCGTGGCAGGGATCGAAACTGCGAAGTTGGACGCAGCAAGTCGAGCACTGTAATCGTGCACTACATTGCCACATTGCTCCGTGTTCTCGTTCGCTGCAAAGGTTCCCGTGACATCCTCTTCGATTGCTGTTGCGTGCGAAGTCACGGTTTGATTCACGGCCGCATTTCGATATGGGTGGTATATTGTCATTATGGGCAGTCCTTTGGCCGGATTGTAAGAGCGATATCCTTGCGGGCTGATTGAATTGCGCTTCTTTGATGACGATCCAACGTTCAACTCTAATAAAAGACCACCCACTTTCAGTGCTATAGCTGTGCCGGAGGAATATTTTCAGACCGTACTGATCTCGGAACAATGCCGAATTCTTGCATTTTCGCAAAACTGCCTGTTTATGCTGAATTTCGTTTGTTAGAGGTACAGTGGACCCATCAGAAATGGCAGTACCAAAATCGTTTCACAAAACACAGTGCTTTAAAGGGCCCCTAAACAGCATCTGGAAATACCAAAAACAAGCCTATTATTATCTCCCGGCGTCTCCCGTGTCCTGCGCCACAACTCGTGACGTCAGGAGATTGCTCACGTGACGTCAGAATGAAATAATCTCTATCGATCGATATAAGAGAGATATCTGTTTTGAATTATCACCTGTCCTGCTTTACTATACGGCAGCATGCACTTTCTCGCTTGTCTCGCACGGCTATCGTGTGCGATAAACTGGTTTCACTTCGTTTTCTGCATTTGCGACTGCGCAAGCGGAAATGACAGCAAGTAGGGAAAAAAAAAAGCGAGAAATCTTGACTGTCTAAACGCTTACTGCTGACATTTCACGTGTTTTACGAAGGAGTGAAGATAGCGCTTGCAAAGATACTGCCTCTCTTTCGAACTCGGTGTGATTCGAAAGGGCTCCTAAACCACCTCCGATATTTTCTCAAACATTGCAAGCCCCGCCACGGTGGTCTAGTGGCTAAGGTACTCGGCTGCTGACCCGCAGGTCGCGGGTTCGAATTCCGGCTGTGGCGGCTGCATTTCCGATGGAGGCGGAAATGTTGCAGGCCCGTGTACTCAGATTTGGGTGCACGTTAAAGAACCCCAGGTGGTCAAAATTTCCGGAGCCTTTCACTACGGCGTCTCTCATAACCAAATAGTGGTTTTGGGACGTTAAACCCCACAAATCAATCAATCAATCAAACATTGCAAGTAAACACGCCTATCGGGTGCAGAACGCAGCCACGATCAACGGTGCCGCACGTGGCAGCGCTACGAGTAGTTGGTGAGCCAAAAATTCAGAGAAACAATCTCTCCTCCTCTCCGTGCCTTTCCAGTTTCCGTGTGACTTCGAGAAGTCGAATCTCGGACGCGCACTGCAAAGCATGCTGCGATTGGTCGAGCAAGAATGCGCGACTTCCGATTAGTCTGCAAGCAGTTGTCCGCGCTCCTTGTTCGTATAGAGTTTCCCAAAATTACCTAGAGGGCACTCTGGCGCTGCGATCGTTCAGTGACCATGGGAATGATGGGTAGTACACACATTTGCCTAGTCTTCGTACTTGCGGACGGCGAATCGTACTTGCGGCTTCGTTTATTGCTGTGTACCGGTTTTGTTTTGAAAGAAACATTCAACCCTTTTGAACTTCGTGACCCGATTTGGAATGGTAAGTTTAAAAGAATAAGATGGTGAAACGCAACTGCTGAACATTTGCTAATATTTGTTTCGTAAGAAAACAGTTCCAAATCACACGAACACATATGAAGCCTAAAGCAGGCCAGAAGTACGAATATTAGACAAATGTGTGTACTACCCATCATTCCCATGTTCGCTGAAGCGCCGTGTTCGTGTGTTGCAGCTCCCATAGACACTAGCGCCAGAGTTCCCTCTAGTGTATATTGAGAAACTCTATGCTTGTTCGTACCTGCAGGTGCACCTCCCCCCCCCCCCCCCCCCTGCAGCACACGCTCTCCCAGCTGCGCACAAATCGCACGTGCACCTGCACGGCTGTCTGCAAGAGGGCAAAGCGACTTTGGGAGAGGATACCAGCGGAGGGTAGCGAAGAAAAGAGTGAAGGGAGTGATCGCTGATTTTCCATAGTCAAACGCTTCGAGCTGCGCTCCTGTTCGAAACATTCTCACGTGAGGCTCTCAGTCTTCTTAGCACACTCGCGCACAACTTCGCCACCACAACTGCATTTTGACCACTGCGTCCTTTGGGGGCCCTTAACAGTCGTCCCACTTCTGAAAGTGTCTCGTGACACGCTCTGGCCGGGAGTAGGTGCCTTAAAGGCCAACTGCGGAGATCTTTTGTGGTTCACGGTGGGTACGTTCAGTTGCACGTTTGCGCCATTCATGACAAATTGAAGGCTTGAGAGTGTCGCAGATTCTTTTCCGACGGATTTTATGGCTTAACTTCAAACGCTCACCTCGCTTGCGAGACTTTTATACCCGTGCCACACGGGCAGAAAAAATGGCATTTACCCCCGAATGCCTTCAGATTTATTGCCATTCGCGCGGTGCCACACGGGCGAACGAAATGGCATTCATCCGAATGCCATTCGAATGCCATTCGCCACCAACTGCCTTCGCCAGAACTCAGTTGACTGAGAAATGCCTACTCTCGACGACACAGCTCGCGAAGTGCGATTTACCTGAAAGTATATAAAACAAATCGTATTGAGCTAAAAATGAAATTTCCCGTCTTTTATTTGCACTAAAGTCTTAAAAAGATGCTTTGAACGTTATACGAAGAAAATAAAGTATTGATAATGAAACGCTTGTCAATTTTAGTGTCTATTTACGCTGTGGATCTGACTAGTGTTGGCTTATACCTGTGTCACACGGGCGCGCAAAAAGTCTTTTAAGTAAGCGGTCTTTTACGAAGTTGAAAGACTTTTAACAAAGAGGTGTTTGCGGCGCAGACACACGGCAGCAACGATCTCCTTTTAGTGTTTTCGTTCGAAGACGCTAGCGAAAGCGTGGCGCTAGCAGTTAAAAGAGAAGCAATGAAAATTAAACAGTGTATCACGATGTACAAATTAAAGACTTGTTGCACTGCTCGTTTCTTCAAATAAATTTAAGAATAAGAGATGAAGAAACAGCAATGTGAATGTTTTTTGCACTAGATAAGGAAGCATTCCCATAACTAGCGACGTGCACAAGTCCGTCTGGCACCACTGTGCTTTTATTTACCGTATTTGTTTTTTGCTGCTCTCGACTGCTCTCGACACGTTACGGGCGACCGTACGGGAGAAAAAGCGAGGATCGCAAGCCTCACGGCCTGCCTTCTCGCTCTGGAAAGCGAGGCAGACGCTGCAAAAGCCGCCAAGGAGAGGATAAAGCAGCGCAAGACCGAGCGTCACCACGTGATATTGCCGACGCGTTGTAGCTGCTTACGAGAATAGAAAAGGTAATAACCATTAAAAGAGTTCATTACACCTTCTGCAGGATATGAAATTTGTTTTTACAAAGAGTTTTGGTGACAGAAAAATAAGCATTCGCTCTTTTTTTCCCACCACTCGAAAATTGCTGGCGCCCACTGGTTTCGAGGCTACTCATTCGGAGCCGTAAAAGAGATCGACGAACGCCGTTTACGAAAAAGACCGCTTCTGAAAATGAGTTCGCTCTGTGCCGTGTGTCTGCTGCCAGGAACTCCTTTTCGGAAAAAGACCGCTTACTTAAAAGACCTTTAAGTGCCCGTGTGACAGGGGTATTAGGTTGCTACGGTCGGCTGCAACGTTGTAAAAGAAAGCAAGAAACTAAAACTTAGGACAGCGTAATACGCTAATTTCTACATTTGATGATTATCTGATGTGTATGAAGCTTGTAAATGCTTCTTAATTTTTTTATTGCTATTCACTCAATGCTCACTTGGAAGGTGCTGTGATCGACATCATCAAGTCAAATGTCATTCGCTTTGGACGTGTAGCAGCGCCGGCGAAACGAATGTCATTCGGGATCTGAAGGCCTTCGCCACCAAATGTCATTTTCTATGCCCGTGTGGCACGGGTATTAATGGTAATATTGTGTGTGTGTGACATTCATTTTTGCAAAACGGAAGTGATGAAACTGATGCGGCACTGTAGCGTGGTCTTGTCTGCTATGGATTGTGCGGGTTTAGCCAGCACTTCCTTGGCTGAGCGTGTGATGTCCTTTTCTGTGTTGGTGGGCGTGCGATGGGTCCTTTTCTGTGTTGGTGGGCGTGCGATGGGTGGCAAATGCTGTTGGGTTGTGGGCCACACACGATTCGCCATATATTCACATTAACAGCGTAAGCGTTTTAGTCGATCGCCACAGGTACTTACTTGGACGGCCTCGGAGTTACTGTATATGCTACGTTTAGCTAGAGGTTATATATACAGTAACTCTAGACGGCCTGGACAAGTAGTGCCATCTGACGGTGTTATGTGCAATCGCACAGGTTCTTGCAAAGTCTTACGTCATATATAGAAGCACACTCACTTGGGTTTCAGTTTCGGTATTGCAGTTTTTTTGCTAATTAAATATTTTTGAACTTGTTGAGCATTTAAGCTATTGGGTGCGTGACAAGAGTGTCTCGAAAACATGAAAGCACCATTACCCTGACATGGTCAAAAATCACCGAGAAGGGCCAACTCCGGTAATTTTTCGAGTTCCATGGATCTCAATGAAATTAACTGGGTAAGTTCATTCGGACGTTTGTGCTATTCATACCAAGTGCCGGTTTGAGATTGTCGTAAATTCTTTTGCATTGAATCGCCGGAGTAGGCCTTTAAAGGCCAACTCCGGTGACCAACTTCGTGGCCAGTAGTCTCAATAAAATTTGCTCGTACACGTGCTTCGAGTTGTCGATGAATTCGCCCTCGTGATGCCGTTTGCTAGCTGTACCTATTGTATATCTACTTATCATTATTGTAGCTATAATAATTAGCCATACCTATTTTATGTTCGTGTGTGTGCTTCTATGTAAGCGTGTATATATGCACA